GCCTTCGTAAATGATCTGTTGATAATGTTCACTTGATAAAAACGAATGGGGAAGTCTCGTTATATTTTAGACAGTTTTTAGCTTGTCTTTTTTAAAAAAAGAAAACGCAGAGCTGTTATTATAGTTGCGTCGTTGTTGTCGTCATGCAAAACTTTAATGTAGGCCATTACAGTTTTAAAGGAAAATTTTTAAGATATGAAACTTGGATTCACTGATCATGACAAGAGCCAGTTGAAACGGCGCATAATTCTGATAGCTATATTTTGGAGTTATGCCACTTAACTTAGAATTTGTCATAGGCGGTTATTTTCACAGATGAGCGTTAACTTCTTGGTTTATTCATTTTATCGTCATTCCTCTGTTGTGTTCGTCGATCTTTTGAAATATATAGAGCTCTATTTCAACATAAAACTAAATTTGAGTCTCCTGAAACGTTTTTCAAAATCATTTTACCCCATCTTACTACTATGTTTACCTTTTAGCCCTAATTGTTCTGGAATTTCATTCATTACACCAATTATCAGGAGATAATTTAGTAATCTGTCACTTGTCATTGTTGGAGGTCTGTAGAAATCTGTACGACAAGATTTTCAAAATAGAACATGTTCTAGCCCTTATATCTAGACTTGAGGTTTACGAATTCAAGAAATAGTAGCCTCCACAAATTAAGATTTGCTTGTACATCTTAGTTTTAAATGGTGTTGTACTTCAAAATCCTACCGTCTGTTGAGGCCTTAAGCTCTACCTCTTTTAGATTTTCACAAGAAGATTTTTAAAGTTTTTACTATATACATATAAGGAATATCAATGACCCCTAGGACGGGGCCAATTTTGACCCTAGGGCTTTTATTTAAACATACTTGATAGACATCCGCTAGAAGATGTTTCATGTGCACTTTTTCCGTTAAAATGTCCAATTCAAAAGTTCACCATAATTTCAGTTTCAATCAAAGAAAAGTCAAATTATATTAAATAAACAGCACAAAAACAAATACTCCTCCCCCCAAAGAAAAGAACAAACAAAAACAACAATAAAAGACAACAACAACAGAAAGAAAAAAGTAAAAAAAAAGAAAAACAATAACAACAACAACCCCCCCCCCTCAAAATAAATCACAAATATCTGAACTATATGTTAATAATAACTTTTAACTTTAATTTTAACATTAAATGAATTGTGTAATTATATCTTGAAATAAACTTTTCTGGGTGCTTATCAGTAATTGTTTCCACTTAATTAAACATGACCTGGAATTGAGAAAGTCGGCATATGCATGTTCTACAGGAAATGATGTAGCGAAACACTGTATGGACAAGCCCGTCACGTTACTTTAGTAGATAAACAAGCATAGGTTGCTGATCTTAAAAATTTAACATTGGAATATTACTTTACTATTCTTCTTTCTTCATTTTTCAAGGTAAGCATTTCATCTATTTACTATTATTAATTTTTTCTGTAACTTTGCACAATGATTTTTAATGATTCTTAAACAATTCTTTAAAAAGTAGTGTTCTTATCAACAATTTGTCAACAACCTCTCACTAAGCGATTTTCCGCATACTTTCATGTATTTTCATTTTATTCTTATGTTTATTAAAAATGTTCATTTCATATTTTGTAACTAATAATTTATCCCTTATATTAAAATGTATATACTTAATGTTTAAATTGTTCTTTCAAACTTTTTCTCTACCCGACTATGTTGATGTTTTGTCATTGGCTAAAACCATCACGTGATCACAACACACATTAAGGTGTGAACTAATTTAATTTTCATTAAAATTATGCCGTTTATCGGACATATAACAATTGTATGTACAAATAAATTTATAAAACAATGTTAGAAGTATTGAAATAATAAAAAAACATTGGAAAATAATAAATGCATAAAACTTGTAAATTTGCGTATGAGAACTCACCCCTAAACAAAACATAATAGACTCAACCAAAACAAGCGTCTACTTCTTTATTATGTAGTTGCAAGATCATGATCAGCAAACCAAATTTAAGAGCAAACCTATTGTAAAAACTAGAAATGTGTCCATAGGACACGGATGCCCACACACACCACTGTTCTGTCAATCTTATGACTCTGGTCAAATATTTTTTGGACTACATGTGCCACAAGTTGAAAACTAAAAATCAACAAGGGGCCATAATTCTGTTAAATTTGGTCGCAGCAAAAATTCCTTCCTTTACTACCATCTACACATTAAGGTTGTTCATCCCTGGAAGTTTAAGCAAAATCTGCCATCCGGTTCAAGAGGAGTTGCGTTCACAAAATTTCAACAGAGTATATAGTGAAAAAATCCACAAAGAACCATATATCTGTTAAATTTGGTTGCAGCAAAAATTCCTTCCTTTACTACCATCTACACATTAAGGTTTTTCATCCCTGGAAGTTTATGCAAATTCTGCCATCCGGTTTAAGAGGAGTTGCGTTCACAAAATTTCTACATAGTATATAGTGAAAAAATCAACAAAGGGCCATAATTCTGTTAAATGTGGTCGCAGCAAAAATTCCTTCCTTTACTACCATCTACACATTAAGGTTGTTCATCCCTGGAAGTTTAAGCAAAAATCTGCCATCCGGTTTAAGAGGAGTTGCGTTCACAAAATTTCTACATAATATATAGTGAAAAAATCAACAAAGGGCCATAATTCGGTTAAATTTGGTCGCAGCAAAAATTCCTTCCTTTAATACCATCTACACATTAAGGTTGTTCATCCCTGGACGTTAAAGCAAAATCTGCCATCCGGTTTAAGAGGAGTTGCGTTCACAATATTTCGGGACGTACGGACAGACGGACGGACGGACACTCGGACGGACACTCGGACGGACAAGTGCAACGCTATATGCCTACTCTGTGGGGGCATAATAATACTATGACCACAGCAGATTTAGTACAGAAAAGCTGAATAATTCCCAAAAATACAATCGTGGAAACTAAACAACGCACGTGAAACCTCGTGCGAAACAAACACTCTGAACACTAAGAAATGATAAGCCCAAGTATCAGACATTACAAGTCTACTTTCATTTACAAGTCAATCTCCGTGTGGAAATTATGCTTCAACAATGTGGATTAGAATCATAAAAGTTAGAAGAAGCAAAAGGGCACATGATAATTGCTTTATCGTTTTACTTTATAACTGCAAATCGGCTCTTACTCGGCAGTAATTAGTGTAGCCGCTTTTTCATGAAGAAACCAGTGCTGATAGTGAAAATTGTGATTGGCATATTTTAATTAGCCAGGTCAGGTGTTTCTAAAAAGGCTGATAACACTGTACATTCAAATTTATTACATAGATAATGCACGTGGAGCTCAGCTCGCAGAGACAAATGAGAACACAGTAACTTTTTGATATCCTTTTAACTCTAAGAAAAATGTCAATTAATTATTAATTGCTGACTGTTTATATTTTCTAGAAAAAGTAAGCAAAACATTATTTTGTTTCATATGACAGGAATGAATTGCATTAACAATCCTAGGTATTGTTGAAAACTCATTGTTTTACATGCCAGATTAAGTAATTGGACCCCATCCTTGTTTGTACGTGACTGCTGGGGAAAAATAATGTTATGCTTAATTAAAGAGGTGACACTTTCTATATTTTTATCTGATATCGAGTTGTAAGAGCCGATTTGCAGTTATATGGGTAAGAGTTCGATAAGACTCCATACGGTCGTCTTACATACAAAGATTACTTTTTCATACAAATGAACATCCAGTACTTTGTATTGTGAAGTAACTGTGACATGATTATAGGAAAAATATACAGAATGCCTCTCAATTTGAAGCGATATCATGCATGTATAGAAAAAAATCAACCAATTTAAACATGTTGAAGCAAGTTTTCCCTACAAAAGGTCTATCAACATTCCCTGCAATATCACATAGGCAAAAGTTAAAATACAATAACGTGTACAAAATAGACTACAATTGAATGATAAATTTTTTTTGTGGTTATACATTATATTATATATTTGCAAATAGCTTAAAACCATGCTAGGGGTTTAATGTGAAAATTAAAATTTAAAGGCCAAATATCTGTTGAGAAAGTAATCTAAGTTTGAATTTAATAAGTGTAAGTAAAACATTTTTATCAACAAAATGATAAAAGTCAAAAATTGTCATATTTAAATATAACCATATAAAATTGTTTTACAACTTTTACAGATTAATATTTTAATGTTTTGGGTATAGCAATTACTTTGATGTGTATAAAATGTACTAAATGTGTATAATTTATTTTTAAAGTTTAAGTACAATAATAATTCGCTTTTTGTACGTTGTGTCTGGTCTGTGTTACGTCATGGGTTTATGAACGACATAAATATATATGTGCTCTAACTACGTTTATTATCTAAACTATATTCTATGATACATGTGTTTACATATCAGTGTCCGCGATGGTAGTATCTTAAGATCTAGGGAACTCTCTATTATAAAGGAGCTGTACGCACCTAGAGTATCATGTTACAGTTTACTCATCATGCTACATCTTCCATCTTTTACAAAATTACTGTTATATTTAAACATAATTTTATCATAAGTATAACCGCATAGATTATTTGAATAACGCTTAAATAAATTCAAGGAAGAAAGACTTTATATTAGATGATGATTACAGTAACATATAGTTAATAAATGTTCATTATCATGAGTCGTTTACAACATGTACTAATCATGATTAATACTGTAAATTTCTTCATTACAAACAATCACTGTCTATTTACAAGTCTGTTACAGCACGTGGCTTCACCTTTCTGCCTGCGCGAGTGAAATAATTAGCATTATCCGGAGGATTCAAAACCACAGGCTGTTTATTGCTATCGGTACGCTCTGACCCTACGTTAATCATTCTGTCATTAACTGACATTTCAAGGCCAGAATTCAAAGCACCATGTGTCAATAAAGGCGATTCTTTAGATTTCAACAAATCTTTACGATTTCTGCGATATTGTTGTCCGTTTTCTGTTTCAACAATATAGGACCTATCGCTGTGATTTTTTTATTACAACAGCGGGACTCCAGGACTTGTCTAGACGTTGAATTCTAGCGGAATCTCCAACATTTAAGGGAGACAGAGGTTTAGCATTTTTATCATAGTAATGCTTAGATTTGACCTTGGATTCTGCGATTTTTTGTTTGACAACATCAGGGGGCGGTACTTGTGGTATAAGGTTTTCCCTTACAGTGGGAAGGATAGAACGAAGTTGTCGTGATTGGACTAACTGCGCTGGACTGAAATTTCCTATATCAGCGAGAGGAGTAGAACGATATTCTAAAAATCCTATTCTCGGATCAGAATTATCATCTTTTGCCTTTTTAAGTATACGTTTGGCAACTTTAACCATCGCCTCAGCCAAACCATTTGTTTGGTTATGATATGGACTACATTTTACATGTACAAAATCCCATGACCTTGAAAACTCCTCAAATTCTTGACTAGAAAAACATGGACCCCCATCAGTGACTATTTTCTCACATATGCCCCAATGTGACATGATATCTTTCATGTGGGAAATAACAGTTGAACTTTTTATGTTCGGAAGTTCATGAACTATGGGATACCTAGAATAGTAATCGGACATGACCATGAATTTTTTCTCATTAAGTGAGAACAAATCACACCCTGCAATTTGAAACGGATAGTCTGGGATTTCAGAGCTGATTAATGGCTCCTTCTGTTGCGATGACCTGTATTCCAGACAAATCTGACATTGATTTACCATTTCAATTATATCATTTGAAATTCCCGGCCAAAACATTATTGACCTTGCTCTACTAAGACATTTTTGCGCACCCAGATGACTGGAATGCAGCACCTTTAACATTTCAGATCTGAGTGACCTGGGCATAACGATTTTTTCCCCTTTCATTATTAAACCATTAACCTCAGATAACTCATCCCTATAGTTCCAAAAGGCGGCAATTAACTGATGACAAGCCTTTTTGTACTTAGGCCAACCAAACTTTATTGTTTGTTGTAATGTATATAATTGTTCATCTTGTTTTGTGTGTAACTTGATTTCCTCAAGATTCTATCTGACACGGGTAAAGATGAGATAACCATGCAAACGTGTGCCTCAATACCCTCATTAAGTTCTGGGCTTGTTTCCGGACTGGCGTTTCTGCTAAGTTCATCTGCTAATGGGATTTTCTTACCGGACATGTGACGAAACTGAAACCTATATGGAGTTAATTTCAAGACTAAACGCTGCAACCTAGCAGGTATTGAATGCATAGGCTTTTTCAGCAATCCCTGTATAGGGAGATGGTCATTTTCTACAATGACATCACGGCCATAGCAGTACTGATGAAATTTCGTAAATCCAAAGACAATAGATAATAATTCTTTAGAAATTTGACCCATATTTCTCTGTGATTCAGTTAAGCTACGGGACGCAAATGCTATGGGACGTTTTTCCTGAAGGATTACTGCCCCTAAAGATTTTGAAGAAGAATCAACTTGCAATGTCAAGGATTTGTTTGGGTCATAATAAGCTAAACATGTGTCCTTACAAATGACTTCTTTCATTTTTTCAAAGGAATCACTTTGAGGCCTTTGCCACGTGAATATAGTGTCCTTATGCAATAACTCTCTCATAGGAGCGGTAATCTCTGATAAATTGTCAGAGACATAACGACTGAGATAATTAGCCATGCCTAATACCACCTGTAGTTCACTTTTTGATGTGGGTGGTCTCATATCCTTAATGGCCTCAATTTTGGCGGGATCGGCCTTTAAGCCTTCTGCAGTTAACACGTGACCAAAATAACTAATCTCGGTGAGACCTACTTCCAACTTTCTGGAATTGAAACGAATGCCTTTGTTCAAAGCACGTTCAAGGACAGCTACTAAATTTCGGTCATGACTTTCCCTCGTGGAACCCCATACACAAATATCATCAACAATTGTAGCTACCCCTTCGAGACCTATCAGTGCCTCTTCAAGGGCGCGAACCAAAAAATCACCTGATACGTTTAATCCGTATGGACATCGAAGATACCTGAAGACCCCCAATGGACTGTTAAATGCAGTCAAATATGACGACTCTTCAGATAACTGTATTGACCAGTAAGCACTAGTTAAGTCCAATTTAGTGAAATACTTTGCATTTACCAAACTTATGTAATACGTCATCAAGTGTTTTGAGCGGGTAGGGTGTACGCTTAATTGCACTATTAAGCGAACGAGGGTCTAAACAAAGACGTATATCGCCATTACTTTTTTCAGTAACAACTAAATTATTACACCATTCAGTGGGTGTTGAAATCTTAGCAATTACTCCCATTTTTTTCCATTCGTGTAAGTTCCTGTTTCACTTTATCTTGTAAAGCAACTGGAATCCTACGGGGAGGGTGAACAACTGGTGTAGCATTTGGGTCAACATGAATGTTACATTCCCCAGGGAGTAACCCTATGCCATCAAAAACCTGGGCATAATCCGTCAAAAGGGACTCTTTAGTAAGAAATGCCTCTTTATTTCTATGATTATAATCATTTTGTACAGAATGAGCAAATTCTATGAGCTTAAAGCCCAAGCACGACTCGCAACCTAACAGTGGTGGGGATTTCGTGTCTACGACATGAAACGTGACATTTTTTGCTTGACCTGAAACAGCTAAGAACAAGGGAGAGTGATTTGCCCTTTGCTATGCAAGGAATTGCCATTGTAGGCGGTCAATTTAGATGTGGGCTTTTCAAGTGGTGCCTTGATTCCTAAACCTTGAAAGGTAGATAATGGCAAAATGTTTACCTGAGAGCCAGTGTCTAACTTCATTTGCACAGCCTTTTTACTATTTCCAATCAATATTTCTGTAAACATCTGTCCATTTTTTACTGTTACACAGTCCAGACTGTCCACATTTTCTACACAGTCAATATATAATTCAGAACTTAAATTTGAAATTTCATTCACTGTTCTAGATTTACAAACATTGCTCCAGTGGTTCCATTTTTTACAATTGTTACATTGTGTGCCTTTTGCTGGACAACGCTGCTTGTCAGTATGTTGATTTCCACATCTGTTACATTTTGTACTGTGTGAACGTTCCCCAATGCGACCTGGATTGCTTGATGTTTCTGTATATCGACCTGGATTCATCGATGAAGGGTTCCGAGACGAACGACCTTGGATGCCCGATGAACGGCTAGGCATCCGTCCCTTCGGTCTTGATACTGCATTAGTCAAAATATATTGACGTGCCAAAGCTTGATTCTGAGATATTTTCGTTCTGGGGCAGAATCTCGCTTTAACGTCAAAACCAAAAGGAGACCTTTCTGTGGTGAAACATGGATTTCGATGTTAATGTAAAAATGCAGACAATTTAAACTAAGAATCTATTCAACAATACAATTTTAAGGAATCAACAGCACAAAAAGTGCTAGACTATCAACTTAGAAGAAAGTAAGCCACGTTAGTTTCATTTCACCGTCTCGTTTGTGTACCAACGCCGCCATATTGTGATGTTGCTACAGTAATGTAACATGTACGCTAAAAATCGATATTGTTCGGTACCGTGCGTGAATGTTGTCATTTTTTTTGCGTGGCAAAAAAAATATGAAAAACTGTTAAACAGTGCTTATTATTCTCTAATGTTGTTGTTATTAATTATATTTATCGCTACATTAAAATAAATCGCCAGGAAATAATCTTTAATTATTTTTTCTAATTGATTGAAATCTTTAAAATGATGCGGAGAAACTTTTAATTTAGACCTCTTTTTTATAAACATGTTTATTAAAGGATAAACAAATACTGTATTTCATTAAAATTTATATTGTCACCACTCTGTAGTATTATCTATGTTAGAATAATTATGTTAGTTACAACTTGCTGCGTATTAAAATCAGCAACTCCTTGCCTAGGAAAGTTTTGTTTTCCAAACGTGCGTTACGCTATGAAAGATTTTTTGAATTCAAATGGTAAATTGTTGCGTTAATTTTTCATTCCTCAACAGTTTTCAGAAAAGTAAAACTCGTTACTCCGAGCGCCCATTTTTCGTTTGTCTGCGTGTACATGTACCATTTATCCTTGTAATAAAAGACTATAATCATGCCGTAATGACCTGGATATTTGTGTGTTGTTTAAGCGATGTTCCAGAAAAGTTTTTGTTCCGGTATAGAAAATATATTCAACCATGTATTTATTTTTGAAACGTTACGTGTCAACTATTCCACAACGCCGACACCGGTACGCTGACCAATATACACTTCGGAAATGTTGACACTGCGCAGTTCTGTTTCTTCCTTACTTAAATTCTTTGTGGCAACTTAAAATTTATAAGATTAAGTTTTAAATAAATTTGATTTATAGATAAGTATTTAAATTGGAGCCGTGATTCCTATCCGGAATCAGTTAAACAATTTTCCATGCTCACATGGTCCAAATTGTAAAGAAAAGTTATTTTTAGATTGTAATTACATGTATTTATTTTTCAATTTATAATTATAAATATACTTGATGATTCATTTTAAAGACGATAATCTTATGCTTACACCAATTTCACTTACAAGTTGCCTCTGCAAAACATTCGAGAGAATGATAAATAATCGGTTAGTTTGGTATCTAGAAAATAATGGAATTATCACTAATTTTCAGTCAGGTTTTCGTAAACAGCGAAGTACAAACGATCATCTTGTACGACTTGAGACTTTTATTAGAGAAGCCTTTGTAAAAAAACAAACAACACCTGGTATCAATTTTCTTTGATCTTGAGAAGGCTTACGACACTACTTTGAAATATGGTATACTAAAAGATCTAAAGGATGCTGGACTTAATGGCAGACTTCCTCTTTTCATTTCTGGATTTTTAAACGATAGGCACTTTAAAGTAAGACTTGGTTCAACTTTTTCTCAAGACCACCAACAAGAACAAGGTGTTCCTCAAGGGAAGCATACTTTCTGTTACACTTTTTTGGCCTTAAAATAAACAATATTGCTAGCGCTCTTACACCAGGCATAGATTGTTCTCTATATGTAGACGATTTTCTTATCTGCTATCGATCGAAAAGTATGAGAACAATTGAACGGCAACTTCAACAAAATTTAGATAAAATTCAGAAGTGGGCAATAGAAAATGGGTTAAAATTTTCAAAGTCAAAAACTCAATGTGTTCATTTCTGCCGACTGCGAAAACAACATAATGACCCTGAACTTTACATATCTGGTTCTAAAATTCCAGTAGTTGATGAAGCTAAGTTTCTAGGAATTATATTTGATAAAAAACTTTCTTTTATACCACATATTAAACATTTGAAAACTAAATGCCTAAAAGCTTTAAATTTACTTAAGGTTTTATCAAGTACAAATTGGGGATCAAATTCTTCCACATTACTGAAATTATACAGAAATCTTGTCCGATCAAAATTAGATTATGGTTCTGTAGTATATGGGTCTGCAAGAAAATCATATCTTCAAATGCTAGATACCATACATCACCAGGGTTTACGTTTAGCTTTAGGTGCTTTTCGCACCTCACCTGTAGAAAGTCTTTATGCGGAAGCTGGGGAACCATCGCTTTATCTTCGTCGTAAAAAGCTATCACTTCAATATGCAACTAGAATTTCATCTAATAGGAAAAATGCAGCTAAAAATATTATTTTCAAACCAAGTTATACTGAAAAATTTGTTAACAAACCAAAGGAAATTAAACCATTAGGCCTTCGTTTAAAAGATGATTTAGATAAACTTAAAATTAATCCAGACAGTATCCTTCAAAATGACGATGAGGATGTTCCACCTTGGACTTATAATTCCCCGGAAATAAATATTAACCTTTCAAATATTAAAAAGGCATCAACTTCACCTGAATATTTCAAAGAGAAGTTTCTAGCAATTAAGGAAGAACATGA